TACGGTCATCCCCTGACGACACTCTGAAGTTAAAACAATGTTACGGTCATCCCCTGACAACAGCCAGAAGTTAAAACAATGTTACGGTCATGCCCTGACGACAGTTTCAACCCAGAAGTTAAAACAATGTTACGGTCATCCCCTGACGACAGTCAGAAGTTAAAACAATGTTACGGTCAACCCCCGACGACAGTCAGCAGTTAAAACAATGTTACGGTCATCCCCTGACAACAGTTTCAGAAGTTAAAACAATTCGGTCATCCCCTGACGACAGTTTCAGAAAGTTAAAACAATGTTACGGTCATCCCCTGACGACAGTTTCACAAGTTAAAACAATGTTACGGTCATCCACTGACGACAGTTTCAACCCAGAAGTTAAAACAATGTTACGGTCATCCCCTAACGACAGTCAGAAGTTAAAATAATGTTACGGTCATCCCCTGACGACAGTCAGAAGTTAAAACAATGTTACGGTCATCCCCTGACGACAGTTTCAACCCAGAAGTTAAAACAATGTTACGGTCATCCCCTGATAACACTCAGAAGTTAAAACAATGTTACAGTCATCCCCTGACGACAGTCAGAAGTTAAAACAATGTTACGGTCATCCCCTGACAACAGTCAGAAGTTAAAACAATGTTACGGTCATCCCCTGACGACAGTCAGAAGTTAAAACAATGTTACGGTCATCCCCTGACGACAGTTTCAACCCAGAAGTTAAAACAATGTTACGGTCATCCCCTGACGACAGTCAGAAGTTAAAACAATGTTACGGTCATCCCCTGACGACAGTCAGAAGTTAAAACAATGTTACGGTCATCCCCTGACGACAGTTTCAACCCAGAAGTTAAAACAATGTTTCGGTCATCCCCTGACGATAGTTTCAACACAGAAGTTAAAACAATATTACGGTCATCCCCTGACGACAGTCAGAAGTTAAAACAATGTTACGGTCATCCCCTGACGACAGTCAGAAGTTAAAACAATGTTACGGTCATCCCCTGACGACAGTCAGAAGTTAAAACTATGCTACGGTCAACCACTGATAACACTCAGAAGTTAAAACAATGTTACGGTAATCCCCTGACGACAGTTCCAACACAGAAGTTAAAACAATGTTACGGTCATCCCCTGACGACAGTCAGAAGTTAAAACAATGTTACGGTCATCCCCTGACGACAGTCAACTCAGAAGTTAAAACAATGTTTCGGTAATCCCCTGACGACAGTCAGAAGTTAAAACAATGTTACGGTCATCCCCTGACGACAATTAAAACAATGTTACGGTCATCCCCTGACGACAGTTAAAACAATGTTACGGTCATCCCCTGACGACAGTCAGAAGTTAAATCAATGTTACGGTCATCCCCTGACGACAGTCAGAAGTTAAAACAATGTTACGGTCATCCCCTGACGACAGTCAGAAGTTAAAACAATGTTACGGTCATCCCCTGACGACAGTTTCAACCCAGAAGTTAAAACAATGTTACGGTCATCCCCTGACGACAGTTTCAACCCAGAAGTTAAAACAATGTTACGGTCATCCCCTGATAACACTCAGAAGTTAAAACAATGTTACGGTCATTTCCTGACGACAGTCAGAAGTTAAAACAATGTTACGGTAATCCCCTGACGACAGTTCCAACCAAGAAGTTAAAACAATGTTACGGTCATGCCCTGACGACATTCAGAAGTTAAAAGAAAGTAACGGTCATCCCCTGACGATAGTCAGAAGTTAAATCAATGTTACGGTCATCTCCTGACGACAGACAAAAGTTAAAACAATGTTACGGTCATCCCCTGACGACATTCAGAAGTTATAACAATATTACGGTCATCCCCTAACAGCCAGAAGTTAAAACTATGTTACGGTCATCCCCTGACGACAGTCAGAAGTTAAAACAATGTTACGGTCATCCCCTGACGACAGTCAGAATTTAAAACAATGTTACGGTCATTCCCTGACAACAGTCAGAAGTTAAAACAATGTTACGGTCATCCCCTGACGACAGTCAGAAGTTAAAACAATGTTACGGTCATCTCCTGACGACAGTTTCAACTCAGAAGTTAAAACAATGTTATGGTAATCCCCTGACGACAGTTCCAACCCAGAAGTTAAAACTATGTTACGGTCATCCCCTAACGACAGTTTCAACTCAGAAGTTAAAACAATGTTACGGTCATCCCCTGACGACAGTCAGAAGTTAAAACAATGTAACGGTCATCCCCTGACGACAATTTCATCCCACAAGTTAAAACAATGTTACGGTCATCCCCTGACGACAGTTTCAACCCAGAAGTTAAAACAATGTTACGGTCATCCCCTGACGACAGTCAGAAGTTAAAACAATGTTACGGTCATCTCCTGACGACAGACAAAAGTTAAAACAATGTTACGGTCATCCCCTGATAACACTCAGAAGTTAAAACAATGCTACGGTCATGCCCTGACGACAGCAAAAGTTAAAAGAAAGTAACGGTCATCCCCTGACGACAGTTAGAAGTTAAAACAATGTTACGGTCATTTCCTGACGACAGTTAAAACAATGTTACATCCCCTGACGACAGTTTAAAACAATGTTACGGTCATCCCCCGACGACAGTCAGCAGTTAAAACAATGTTACGGTCATCCCCTGGCGACAGTCAGAAGTTAAAACAATGTTACGGTCATCCCCTGACGACAGTTTCAACCCAGAAGTTAAAACAATGTTACGGTCATCCCCTGACGACAGTCAGAAGTTAAAACAATGTTACGGTCATCCCCTGACGACAGTTTCAACCCAGAAGTTAAAACAATGTTACGGTCATCCCCTGACGACAGTTTCAACCCAGAAGTTAAAACAATGTTACGGTCATCCCCTGACGACAGTCAGAAGTTAAAACAATGTTACGGTCATCCCCTGACGACAGTTTCAACCCAGAAGTTAAAACAATGTTACGGTCATCCCCTGACGACAGTTTCAACCCAGAAGTTAAAACAATGTTACGGTCATTTCCTGACGACAGCAAAAGTTAAAACAATGTTACGGTCATTTCCTGACGACAGTTTAAACAGAAGTTAAAACAATGTTACGGTCATCCCCTGACGACATTTTCAACCCAAAGTTAAAACAATGTTACGGTCATCCCCTGACGACAGTCAGAAGTTAAAACAATGTTACGGTCATCCCCTGACGACAGTTTCAACCCAGAAGTTAAAACAATGTTACGGTCATCCCCTGATAACACTCAGAAGTTAAAACAATGTTACGGTCATCCCCTGACAACAGTTTCAACCCAGAAGTTAAAACAATGTTTCGGTCATCCCCTGACGAAGTTTAAAACAAAGTTAAAAGTTAAAACAATGTTACGGTCATCCCCTGACGACAGTTTCAACCCAGAAGTTAAAACAATGCTACGGTCATCCCCTGACGACAGTCAGAAGTTAAAACAATGTTACGGTCATCCCCTGACGACAGTTTCAGAAAGTTAAAACAATGTTACGGTCATCCCCTGACGACAGTCAGAAGTTAAAACAATGTTACGGTCATCCCCTGACGAAGTTAAAACAATGTTACGGTCATCCCCTGACGACAGTCAGAAGTTAAAACAATGTTACGGTCATCCCCTGACGACAGTCAGAAGTTAAAACAATGTTACGGTCATCCCCTGACGACAGTTTCAACCCAGAAGTTAAAACAATGTTACGGTCATCCCCTGACGACAGTCAGAAGTTAAAACAATGTTACGGTCATCCCCTGACGACAGTTTCAACCCAGAAGTTAAAACAATGTTACGGTCATTTCCTGACGACAGTTTAAACCAATTAGTATCTTTTTTGCTATATCACAATGTATCCCTGTTGTTATAACAGTGTATCCTTGTTGTTATATCACAATGTATACTTGTTGTTATACCACAATGTATGATTGTTGTTATATCACAGTGTATCCTGGTTGTTATATCACAATGTATCCTTGTTGTTATATCACAATGTATCCTTGTTATATCACAGTGTATTCTTGTTGCTGTATCACAATGTATCCTTGTTGTTATATCACAGTGTATTCTTGTTGTTATATCACAGTGTATCCTTGTTGTTATATCACAATGTATCCTTGTTGTTATATCACAGTGTATCCTGGTTGTTATATCACAATGTATCCTTGTTGTTATATCACAATGTATCCTTGTTATATCACAATGTATCCTTGTTATATCACAGTGTATTCTTGTTATTATAACACAGTGTATTTTTGTTGTTATATTACAGTGTATCCTTGTTGTTATATCACAGTGTATCCTTGTTGTTATATCACAGTGTATCCTTGTTAAATCACAGTGTATTCTTGTTATTGTATCACAATGTATCCTTGTTGTTATATCACAGTGTATTCTTGTTGATATATCACAATGTATCCTTGTTGTTATATCACAGTGTATCCTTGTTAAATCACAGTGTATTCTTCTTGTTGTATCACAATGTATCCTTGTTATATCACGGTGTATTCTTGTTATATCACAATGTATCCTTGTTATATCACAATGTATCCTTGTTGTTATATCACAATGTATACTTGTTGTTATACCACAATGTATGATTGTTGTTATATCACAATGTATCCTTGTTGTTATATCACAGTGTATCCTTGTTATATCACAGTGTATTCTTGTTGCTGTATCACAATGTATCCTTGTTGTTATATCACAGTGTATCCTTGTTATGTCACAGTGTATTCTTGTTGCTGTATCACAGTGTATTCTTGTTGTTATATCACAGTGTATTCTTGTTGTTATATCACAATGTATATTAGCTGTAATATCACATTGTATCATTGTTGATACATATCAGTGTAATCATTGTTGTAATATCACAATGTAACTATTGTTTTTTGTTTTTGTTTTTGTTTTTTTTTTTTTTGTATGTAACCTCTTATTGCTCTTGTCCAATCCTTTCGTCATATGCATTTGCAAGGATAATTCTATGCGATGATAACATAGCATACATGTCGAGTTCTTAGTTAATTATCAGGGAACCAGACAGACCAGTACCAGCCAGACGCAACATTTCCTCCTTCTTTGATCCATTTCCTCCGAAAGTTACATCTTTTCCCGTTTACCCGCATCTGTTTCAAATTTTGTATGATATCCTGCACAGACTGACCTTCATGCTGTTTAATCGTTGGAAACTGCTTACAGCCATTATAGAGACAACATTTTGGTTTACCTGTTATTGTAAGTTAAAATGAAATTAGAAAACCTTGTACATATAATTTGTAGACATCATATTGTGTTAAATGATATTATCGTAATAATTAATGTTTTTATAATATACTGAATAATCTATGTATTTTCGGATCCGTAATATACATATAAATAATCACTCGTAAATAAGTTCTGAAATATTCACACCTAATAAACATTGTCACAAAACAGTACATGGGTAGAAGTTCTGAAAATAACATACTTTCTGCGTCACATTTAGCATATTTTAGCATATTTATAGATAAAACTGGTCTAATTTTGCTGATGCCGTGTTTTTTGTATTAGAAATACAAATCTAAATGACAAACGAAACTTCCTCAATATTGAATCGATATTGAGGACTTCTACCGACCTCTACAGATAAATTGACAGTTATCAATGAGATTAATATCTAACGTATCCCCTAATGAAACTGTAATTTTGTTGTTTTATAACTCACCGTCTACAATGACTTCGCAAAGCATTAAACGGCCCATTTTCTTAGAGATCCTCAGATAACGTCCAACGGTATTGTTTGGACAAGGCAGAGTCCTCAATTCACCAGAAGGAACATGAGTCTCAGTGTAGTTGTAACACAGCCTGCCACTCAGGAAATAACTATTTGGTCCAATGTCGGTGGTATCAGAAACTTCTATGACGAAATCTGCTAGGTCCCAAGCTATAGAAAACACATCATAATGAATTAATCAATGTTGTTGTTTTAGTAACGAAGTATTAATAACATAATTGTTTTGATTTATCTATTCATTATTCGTTGGTTTATCATATTTGTTCTACGCGGAGAGAAACCATCGAGAAGTATTAATTCTAGATATTAGGACTGCCTGGTTTACGCAATAAAAGGAAAACTGATTTCAATGATAAAATGTATTTTTCATTTTGAAAGTGAAAGTGTCCTCACTTCTCCAATGAGACCAGGATGGCATCAATCAGGTCGTTTAGTTCTCAGTCAACACCAGAACACAGACGATCAAATAGCTAAAGATAATTTTACGGTTCAAAGGAAAAACAAAAACATATAAATCATAAATATTGGTAAAGTTCCTATGACGATTTGGCACTTGTTTAGAAGAGTGTTGTTTTAAGTATCAATTCAAACACCCCAATAAATTATCTATGACACCCCGCCTCATTTAATTCTTGTGTTAATTGCCTACAGTTACAACTTTACGTTCCTTCCTCCACACTTTGACCATTGTTCACCGAAGTTCGTATAAGTTGCAAATTCTTCATTCTGAATAGGTTAATAGATTGTTAAGCCCTTTCAATATTTTTTTATGAAACGTTGACCTTAATACTTTATCTTACTAACGTCCTTTTTAAAAATGGCATGGAAAATGTATATATTTCCGCGGTTATTTGCATAATAAACTTATTAAGTTGATAAGAAATATGTTGCTAGATCACCTCTGTCTTTATCATTTAGATTGCTTATCCGTCATAACGATATGGACATTCCCTGTTTACATTGGATTCCTAACTTTTTTTTCGGTTGACTCGACTAGCTGTTTAACCAAAACTTTCATTTCCAAGAAAGGTAAACGGCGGTACAAATATATAATTTGAAATATACTGAAGCATATTTTGTGAAATCAAAGAAGAAAAATCTACGACATCGATTGATGAGTTTTTGGTTGACAACATATTCTTCGAAATTGGCAGTAAGAACTGGGGTTGATTTGTTTGTGTTTTCATGCGAGGCTGAATTTTATCGGAGAGATTATCAAAACAGGTCACAAAGACTTAGAAAAATCGTATATACCCACCAGGATTGAAAATCAAGGCTACTATAGACGTTTCTACACCAGTCACTTATCTCGATATCATCCGTCAACGAAACAAAGTATGACAGTTTTACACGAAGCTGTATTATACGCGTGGTAATTGTACTATCCCTATTATGAAATTTTCATTCTGGATAGCACTATCCCAAACCTATGGTGTTTTATATTTCGTAATTGATTCGATAGGGCCTGTTTCCATTATCATGATTTTCGTGCATGAAGTCGTCAACTGTTAGACAAACTCTTGACACAGAGTTTCAATAATGCAGGTTGATGAAAATCACAATGAATTTTTATGGTCGTCATACTGATCTCATTGAGAAATATTCTATTTCATTGTGTTATAAGACACTGAAAGTGTTTACTGTTCGTTATTTTGGTTCCGTTGTTGTGCAGCTGGTTCTCATGTGAGAATGTGACCTTGCTTGCATGATTTACATAGCAGATGTCGTCGATGAAGAAAAATTTGTAATCTGTAAATCTGTAAATTTTCAGGAGTCTAAGCATTTTTAAGCAATATTCAGTTATGACTATGTTTATTTATGTATGAACCATATGTTGTCTTGTTTAAATTTAACAAACCTTAGTAATACAGGGTCATATCCCGATGATTAACAAACGTAAGTTTTGTTTTCAATAAAAACGCATAAATATTTCGGTTTTGGCAACTGTAGTCATAGGTTTTGTGTATTAGTGGCAAGATATTCGTTATCCAGTCATTTTCAGAAAATAACTCTGATTTGTAATTATTTATTATTATTGAGGTTTAAGTTATTTCGTTCGTACCAGATTGTATTCTGTTCTGAATGGAGACCTGTTCGATGGTGTAGATACCTCCAAAATCCACTTGCCACCACGCTACATCTTCTTGTTTTGTATGTGAACATGATCTCTTTGAATATCTGGGATCCAGGTTTCCATCCACAGCTCTCTCTGCGAAGCCATAGTGAGAAGTAGACGACTGTGTGGCCGATTTATTAAAAGCAATGTTAGCCAAGTTGCAAGCATCACCGCATTCTAGATTCAAAGAAATAAATTCTTTAAAAGTTAATGAACAAAACGTTAACGAAAGAACCTCCATAGTTTTAAATATAATATAAACATAAATTTATGATTTAGAAGTTAAATAATTACTTTGAAACATTAGAAATTTCAAAAGATATATTAAAGTTGTCATGTAGTGAATAGAAAATAATTTTGCCATTCTAAACAACAGATGCCAGTGAGACCGTTACAGGCAGTTTGTGTCTTAAAAAACCAAATATACCAACAAATGTATGTAGTCATAATCCATTTTATATTCAATAAAACTATGATAAATTATGGAAAAAGAAGGATATAAATATTCCGAAGAAAGAAACTCAAACAATTTTGTTTTGTTTAAAAAGTGTATTGAAAACAATATCGACATATCATGTCTTTATAACGTAATCAAATTATGATTGAATTTATAAATCTTAGACATAGATGAAATGAATGCAATTTTAACCGTTGCACATATGGCTGTCTATATAGACTGTTTGGCATAATCATGCACAACGGTTTGGCAGTTATATAACAGCGTTGACATATATTAAAACAAAGCCGTATTTTATCAACGTACAAGAATTATTTCCGTTCTAGAATATATTTTTGAAAATGAAACGTAATTAAATTATGACTGAATTGATGATTTTTATAAATAAATGGAGTTTTTGTCAATGTTCAAATGTTTTTCCTCAAAATACTTATCTGTTTATGCATATTTCTAGTTGCTTACATTTTAGCTATTATGCACAATAAACGTTCATGCAGTTACTTTTTTTACAAATTCAAATAGTGTACGGTATTAACGATATTATTCGGGAGAGTAGACTACGAATGCCTTTTCGAAATACATTTTCTTTGACTCAAGGGACGAAACAATTTGACAGGAAAAAACGTTATATTAGGGAAATAAAAAATGTGGTCTTACCTGTGCCATAGCAACACAGCGTTGACCAAACTGACCACCATAAAGCCCACGTCATAAGCAACTTAGAACACATCATCATCATCGGCAGTAGGCTCTGAAGACCCAGTCACAACGCGTCAGTTTTACCACGTTTCAATCATCGAGCATCAAATAATCTTTGTATTGGAACTAATTGTGTTGCAATCATTAATTATGTATATACTTTTCACCAGGGAAAACGTGACTGCGAAATCAATTGCCTATAATGTGTTTTAAGCACCACTTGAAATAATAAATTCTCATATTGCCATGATTTGAATCATTCTATTGATTTGCCATCCCGATAAAACTTCGTTTACGGTGCTTGCTGTCTGATTCGTCGATTGTTTTTTGTTTCTTTTGTTTTTTTCTCTCTCGTTGAAAATAATTCTAGATGGATCCACTTGATAATGATTGGAGGAGTCAATGGCAACACGTCACCATTCGGTGGATTTGTTGGAACTTCTTTTTTATGGCTTGAATATATGTTTATATTCACCTTGTGTGTGAGTCGTTGCCATTCAATAATGTAAATAAACGGATTGCAACATCATAAAATATTTTACAATGAACACAAGCAATAAACAACGAATAGGTAAGGAATTTATCATGGAATAAATATGCTTTTTTTTGTTTTCAAACATTTCCGTTTGGATGTGACAGGGTCACTCATCATTGAGTTTCGAATGACTGAAATGGCGCGAATGAGCTGTTAATGACGTCATGCCACTCAAGCTGTTATGCCTGGTGATCTGTAATAAAATATCCGTCATTAAATTATTAAGTTTATAAAAGTGTTATTTTCGTTTTTGAAGCATATCTCGGAAGTTAATTATAAGCTATGTTATATATGTTAATATTTTTAGTTTTATGCCTGTATGAAAGAAAAAACCTTTCGGCAAACTGTATAAAAGCTTGATTGATACTTACAGGCTGAAAAAAAATAACTGGAATTAAATATTCTGGCCCGACAAATCGATAAATCAATAACTAAATATTGTTTTATATATAGATATCCTGTATTGATAATACTCACGAGGGCTTAAATTCCGTTATATTAGCAATAAGAAAGAAATAAAATAACACAATATTTTTATAGTTAATGGAATTTTCTATATTTTATGCCTGCATACATTGGCACCAGTTCACAGATTTGCATGAAATTTGATACGCGTGAACTATCCAAAAGCAAGACAACCATGAAATATTAGCCCCCGTAATTAAATACTTATACAAAAGTCCAGATTATTGTAAAAAGTTATTTGTTATAGATATATACTTTAATGAACGGTTCCATGACTGATACTATGGCAAAGTCATTTTTCCTGGTGTGACAATTAATACATTACACTACAATGACTATCCTACCCCCTAGTTTTCTGAAAAAATGGAGCAGAAGACACATACTCTTCTGGAACACCTGGTTTCTATTTTTTTTTACATTTCTTTTTGTCCAAATATTGATCTAGTTTTTAAATTTGTGTTTGTATTAACATGTATTTTCTTTGTATTTTTTTCTCCTTCTTCGGTATCTTTTTCTCACCTATACATGTAGCATTTTCCATTGGTCACATGATTTTGCCTGTGAAGGACAAACGATTCTCGTATGGAAACTTTTATTATTACTTCTCTACGGCACCATCAGGACGTCGTTTCGATTGTTAGCTAATTCATATGATTTTGCAGCAAAGATGTTCATTTTATTTCCGGTATCAGGCATTAATAGTATAGTATAGTATATACAAGATGAAATCATGTAACCACAAGTTTATCAACGGTGCTTTTTTATTGGGAACGGGGGCAGTCTACGGATATACATCCAAGATATGTATTGGTTTTTTTAAAATAATAAGCAAAGATATCAAAATTAAATATCCATAATTTAGAACCGAAATTCAGTTTTACATAGATACAATACTAAGCTTGCAATGGGGAAGGCTATCATCACGGAGCTGTCTCATTCGCTGGAATCCTCTGTACAGCTTTGTTGAAGCTATATTTTGTAGATACATGCAAGATTGGGTCTTTACAACCGATATGGTCAATAATAGAGATATTTAGCTTGTAATAAGAAATGACAAAAAAAAAATTGTATGATAAAATGATTATGTTATGTACAATTTAAATTTATTCAAATATGATACATACATGCTTCAAGGGAAGTAACTCTTAGACACAATGTATAATAAAGAAAATTCCATACACGTTTCATACGGTAGGTATCACATCTTTAACCGTATTCCTTACTGTGATGTATACTGAAAATGTGTCAAACTATTACAATATTGTATTTTGACATGTCGGCAATCATATACCGAAAAATTTTAAAATATATAACAATATTTTGTTTTTATTTTTAACATGAATTACAAAGCTTGTGTTTCGACATTTCGGCAAGAATATCGTTTTGTATCCATTAAAACTTTATCATCAGATTATTTTCATTCTGTAGTGGCCGTGTGCCCATGTTTCACCACCTGTATTCACACAGTTTTTTACGTCAAAACTACAGAGGCCGGATTGTGTATGCATGAAAGTTGAGCTTGTCACTTCGGGTGGAATTCATATCGCACATTATGGATTTTGAACGAATAGACATTGTAGATACATGTGACTTAAGTCATGTACTATGGTCCTCCTATTGATTCTATCTGTTTAAATTGTTGATCGTAGACATACATTTTAGGCCTCAATCTGACTAACTCTTCCCACCTACTTCCTCTTAACTTTCCCAGTATATTTTTATCTGTGACGGCATAGCTCGGGTGGTAGGTAGGCTAGCTGGAGAGACCGAACAGGTGTTGGTCTTCGTGAAATGCTTCGAACAAGTCTGAAATATCCGTTATTTTTTACATTAAACTGTCGCTGTCATTAACAGACGGATGTTCTCGTATTTAGATTGCATGTGTTTGTAATGGAAATTAAGCATGATACATTTAGAGAGATTCAGAATACACTGGCCGATATATACGGGTTTATTGAGTACTAATTTAATTTGACTGATTTCGATTCCCAGCAAATCTTTGTTGAATATCTTGAATCTTGGAAATGATGGTTTTTACAAATTTTATTGACAAAATACACATTAACATTACAACACATGTCCCCACACAGGAGGGCTCTCACTCGTCACACTTGCCATCCACACTAACAATATAAACAAACCATAAACTTTACTACTATCTCCATTCCATTCCTTTTATATAAACTGCATTACACGTCACATACATTCGTCTCCCTTTCATCCAAAACTCACACAACCACAAATATGAACAAATACATCTATTCAAACAATAAAAAAGGACATTTTTTATAATATACTACTTAATTAGTTCATATAAATTTCTAATTAGTTCATATACACAAATAAACAATACACTCTGCAGCATACACGTTTACATATACACACAATAATTTCTCGTTACATACAAATACATCAGACAATAACAAACAAGTTTACATACACACCTAACAATTACCTGATTATGTACTTTAGACAATATCATATATGTTAACATTTCATTTTACCTAAAAATCCTACCAAAAATTATGTATGACATTTCTGTTTTACCAACATGTGCAATTGAAGGACTTGATATCATGGTTCATCTTGGGAAATTTCCAGCTTATATGAGAAAAACTAATTACATAAATTGTTCAGGGGATTCCATTTTTGATTAAATTTAAGCAGTCCCTTATTATTGTCTGCCACATTTTTTTTCAATTAGGTTTATTTTTTAATACAGTTTTTAACACCAGTAAAAGATGGTAGTATTTTTCTAAAACGACAGTAATAAATATGATTCTTTATAATCAATATCAAGTAATTGATAATAGCTGGACCTTGTTTGCAGAAGAGTAAAACATCTTCAATATTTAATTGATTACTTATTAATCCGTTATTACTAAACTTATTCACCCAGACCTTCAATTCGTTCCATATGTTGTTTACTTTAATACAATAAAAAAAAATGTTCTAGTGTTACTGGTTCATTTTCACAGAAGGTACACAAATCACTGTCTACCACATTTATTTTGTGAAGAAAACTATTTGTTATTAAAATTCTATGAATTATTCTAAACTGGAGATTTTGTAAATTTGTATACATTGTCATTTTGAAAATGTTTAAATAAATACATTTCCAAGCAACATATTCACTTAAGTTTTTATTTAATTTTCTGTTCCATTTCTCTTCTTTCTCCACAGGACAATGTTTGTTTTTCACTACTAGTGATTTATAGACACATTTAAAATCTCTTTTTTCTATTAATTGCTGTAAATAGTTTATGTTTTCCAAGGTGACCTGTTCTTGTCTTAATCGATTTTATTTATTCCTTGGTATTTTATTAGTCAGTGAAAAATACTGCAAAAAATTAATGTTCCTACATTTATCTTTCATTACATTGAATGATAAAAATTGTAAATTTTCATCCAATAAATCCTTTACTGTTTTGACCCCATTTGTCTCATTTGATTTAAATTGCTTTAATAAATTTAGAGGAATATAATTTAAAAGGTCACCATTAACAAATGCATTTGGGTCAATGTTATCATCTTTATACTCATTCCATGCTAAAACAACATCTCTCCAAAAGGGATTCTTTATATTATCTTATATTTCTTCTATTTTTTCCTTATCCAGGTTCCACATTCTGTCCATTCCATATTTACTGAAGTTGGATTTGGCTAAAGATTGCCAATCTCCTGTCCCTTTTAATCCATTTAATTTTCAAATATTTCATAAAACTTTCAATATGTACCATCTTTAATCCTCCTTCTTCATAGTCTAAAATCATTGTATTTCTCTTAATTTTTTCTGGCTTGTGTCCCCAAATGAATCTGAAAAACACTGAATTTATTTCACTAATCATCTGTTTGCTAGGATTTGGGAGAGAATAGAATAGATGTATGAGTAGAGGAAGGGCTAATGTTTTAATAACAGTAACTTTCCCTAAAAGTGTAAGATTTCTTCTGGCCCACATTCCCAGAAGTTTACGTATTTTGGAAATGTTTTCTTTATAATTCAACTCAATCAT